CGGGAAATAAATTGGGAACCCCTGTCTGACACAATCTCATTGGGAATACCATGTAAACGGAAAATTTCTCTAGCAAATATCACGGCCAGTTCGGGGGAGGACGGAAGTTTAGGCAAGGGAACGAAATGAGCCATTTTAGTAAACCTGTCAAGGACCGTGAGTATAACTGTATGCCTATTGGAAGCTGGTAGATCAACAATAAAATCCATAGCCAAGCAAGCCCAAGGTTTGTTGGGAACGACTAAGGGCTGCAATAAACCACAAGGGAGATCCCGCGGAAGTTTATTCCTGACACAAACATTGCAAGCCTTGACAAAGTCTTCCACATCCCTACGTAAACCGGGCCACCAGAAGTCTTTTGAGATCAGGCAGTAAGTTTTGTGGATGCCGGGGTGACCAGCGATCTTGCTATCGTGGAAACAGCGAATAATGTCCACTTGGAATTTGGGAGACACGAACAAGCGGCCCACAGGAGTACGTTCGGGAGCAAGAGATTGTTCGTTCTGAATATCAGCGAGCAATGGAGAGTGTATTTTGACATTGGTGTTGGCGATAATATTGACTTCAGGAATAATAGGGAACAAAGTATCCTCTGTAGAGGTGGTAGGTTCGTGCTGACGTGACAAAGCGTCTGCTTTAGTGTTCTTAGAACCAGGCCTGTAAGTAAGTACATAATTAAAGTGTGTAAGGAACATAGACCAACGTGCCTGCCTGGCAGATAATCTTTTGGCCTCCCCCATATACGATAAATTTTTGTGGTCAGTCAAGATAGTAACTGGGAGGACGGTGCCCTCTAACAAATGTCTCCATTCCTTTAATGCCATAATGATAGCTAAAAGTTCTCTATCACCAATGTCATATCTCCTTTCAGTGTGTGACAGTTTCTTGGAAAAAAAACCGCAAGGGTGCAGCGGCTTATCTAAACTTTGTCTTTGGGATAACACTGCGCCTATCCCTGTTTCAGACGCATCAACTTCAAGTAAAAAGGGTAGAGAGGTATCAGGATGAATTAATACAGGTGCTGAGGCAAAAGACTGTTTGAGTGTTTCGAAAGCAGATAAAGCCTCAGTAGACCAGGTTTTGGTATCGGCTCCTTGTTTGGTCATATTAGTGATAGGAGCGATAACAGAGGAGTACCCTTTAATAAAACGTCTGTAATAATTAGAAAATCCAAGAAATCTTTGTATGGCTTTGAGTCCCTTAGGTAAAGGCCAATCTAAAATCGATTTTAGTTTGGTCGGGTCCATCATAAACCCGTCTTTGGAAATTACGTAACCTAAGAAAGTTACCTGAGACTGGTCAAAGCTACATTTTTCCAATTTACAATACAATCCATGTTGTAAAAGTTTCTGTAATACCTTTCTGACTTGTCTATGATGTGAATTAATGTCTCTAGAATGGATTAGTATATCATCCAAATATACAATTACACATTCATGTTGGAATTCTCTAAGAACTTCATTGATCAAGTCTTGGAAGACGGCCGGGGCGTTACAAAGCCCAAACGGCATTACGGTATACTCATAATGCCCGTAACGGGTATTAAATGCTGTCATCCATTCATCTCCTTGTTTAATTCGCACTAAGTTATATGCTCCCCTTAAGTCAAGTTTAGTAAAAATACTCGACCCCTTTAGTCTGTCAAAGAGTTCAGTAATCAAAGGAATAGGGTAAGCATTTCTGATAGTAATTTTGTTCAATCCCCGATAGTCTATACAAGGACGTAAGGTACCGTCTTTCTTTTCTACAAAAAAGAAACCCGCCCCCGCCGGAGAAGAAGACTTTCTAATAAATCCCTTGTCTAAATTCTCCTTGATATATTCCTCTAAAACTAAGTTTTCCTTGGTGGATAGAGGGTATACCGTACCCCTGGGAGGCATAGTACCAGGGAAAAGTTTAATAGAACAGTCATAAGACCGGTGGGGAGGTAAAGTATCCGCCTTACCCTTGTCAAATACAGATTTGAGGTCTAGATATTGTAATGGTATCTGAACGTCTGTGGATTGAGAAGTGTTAGCATAAGAGTTCACGGGGCAAACAGAAGTAACTCTCTGCAGACATTCTTTCCTACAACCCATACCCCAAGAAACGATTTCTCCACCCTCCCAGTCAATCTGAGGGTTGTGTCTCTTGAGCCAAGAATATCCTAGAACCACTGGGACTGCCGGGGAGGAAATTAACAGAAGGGAAATCAACTCTTCGTGGAAAATACCAACAGTAAGCTTAACGGGTTCGGTCTCATGGAATATTACTGGTTCAGATAAAGGTCTACCATCTATGGCCTCAACGGCCAAGGGTGTATCTCTCAATTGGAATGGGATACAATGCATATTAGCGAAAGTTTGGTCTATAAAGCTTTCTGCTGCTCCAGAATCTAATAATGCCATCGTAGTAATAAACCCCTTTTCCCAAGCTAGAGAGACAGGAATCAGAAGCCTATGGTCTTTTTTATTATGCATAGAGGACAGTAATGAAACACCCAAGGCCCGTCCTCTAAGGGAACTTAGGTGCGAGCGTTTCCCGGACGATTAGGGCAACTGAGACGTAGGTGACCTCTCAGCCCGCAGTATAAACAGAGACCCTCCCTTCTTCTGTACTGTCTCTCAGCCTCAGATAAGCGAGTATTACCTATTTGCATAGGTTCTGGTAGAGTAGGATTATAGGAGTCAGGGTTCTGAAATGAGGGAGCGAGTCTTACAGGAAGTCTAGTAACTCTTTCCCGAGTGTTCTGCCTCTGTCTCATGCGTTCATCTATTCTGGAAATGAAGGATACTAAATCCTCTAAATTTTCCGGAAGTTCTCTTGTGGCAATTTCATCTAGAATTTCATCAGACAACCCATTCAAGAAAACATCCATAAAAGCTTGTTCGTTCCATTTCACTTCTGCTGCCAATGATCTAAACTCTAGAGCATATTCTACAAGGGTCCTATCTTGTTGTTTAAGGCGTAACAGGGATCTGGCCGCATTAATCTTCCTCCCTGGGGGGTCAAAGGTTCTTCTAAAAGCCGTGACAAACGCAGTGTAGTTGTAGACTAAAGGATTGTCATTCTCCCAAAGGGGATTGGCCCATCTAAGTGCTTTATCTATTAGCAGGGTTATAATAAAGCCTACCTTAGCCCTGTCAGTGGGGTAAGCCCGGGGTTGTAGTTCGAAATGTATACTTATCTGGTTTAAAAAACCACGACAAGCATCAGGCGAACCCCCATATCGTAATGGTGACGTGACATGGGAAGATGCGCCTACAGTGGCTACTTCCAAACCAGTACTTAGCGAGTGGCTAGCAGTGGAACGTATTTCTTCAGACTGGGTACTGGAGCGTGTCAACAAAGTTTGTAGCGCTAAAGCCATTTGGTCCATTCTATGGTCCATGGCCTCAAATCTGGGGTCAGGAGGACTAGCACCTGCAGGATCCATCATGGCCCTGTCGTAATGTCAGGAAACTGACAGGGATCCAATACGCAGAGTGCGCACAGAAGGAGGTACGTATACCGGACCTTAGAATGGCCGGACTAACGTAAGGACAAAGCAAGAATAGTCAAAAGGTAAGCCGAGGTCAAGGGAGCCGGAGGACAGGTAAGCGAGATACAAGCCGAGTCAAAGGAGAGGAGAGGACAACAGGACAAAAGGCAAGCAAGGGTCAAAACCGGAAACACTAGATAAAGAACGCGCTGAGTGACTAGCAAGCTAGAACCACGACAGGGCAATGAGCAGTAGTAAAGGTTTCCTTTAAATACCCTGTTACCTAAATAGAGACCACGCCCCCAAAAGGTCCGGAATAGCGGTTCCCGGCACTTTATGCAAATGCCGACGTCATGACGTCGACGCTAGCCGTCGCGTCATAAAAGGGGGAGGAGCTAGCGCGGCCGGCGCGAAGACGGCCGAAATATGCCGAAATGCTAGGGGAAGGGAGCCCCTAAGCAGAGAGGATGTCCTCCCTGGATACATCACCAACAGGTACCCTGACAGCAGTATCATTATCTGTGTCTCATTATTCCCCACAGTACCCCCATGTGTCTCACCCCCCTCCCCCCCCCCATGTGTCCATTCATCAAGTTTAAAGACTTTTGTCCAAGTAAATGCTTCTTTTGAAGAAACAAGACACACACCAAGTCAATGCTTCTCTATGAGATTTATTGAATCCTATGTTTTACACAGAGAATCTCTGGGTTCACATCAAGCATTCAGCACTGACATAGATTCATTTATTAAATATATGGTAGTCTACAGGTGTGGGGATTGCAAAATGGAAACAGTACTGTTTCTAGGATATAGCACTGTTTTCATTTGCAAGCTGTCAGAGAAAGCATCTTCACAATCAGTTAGGATTACATTATGTTGGTGCTCTCCTTTTAAACTCAGGAATACAGCTATTGAGTTAGGTAGCTTGTATTCAGGAGAAGTGAAGCCTGTCAATCAGATGAAATATACACCTTCTGTTTTATTTACTATTTAAACCAGAGACACTTTTTTCTTCTCCTTGTCTAAGATAGAGCCCAGGAAAACAAGGCATGTTACCACCTATTCGGATTAATCCCTGCAGCTTTCCTTTACTTAAAAATGAATGAGCTTATGTTCCAGATCACTATAGTGAGCGGGCAAGTCAATAACTGCTGGTTTCCATGTGAAATTAATCCATTCTAACACTGGCAAGTTGAGGATTAATCAATAGACCCTCTGACTCCTGAGTTGATGCAGCAATAGTTATACCAACTATTGTAAGCTATGGAGGCAAATAAAAAAACATTAAACTAGGTAGAAAAGTTAATGTTATCCCAGCAGCACAGCTTTAACATTGTCAACACTATTATTATTATTATTGCCATCGGGGCCGGACTGGCTCACTGGGATACCGGGAAATTTCCCGGTGGGCCGTGGCATCTGGGGGCTGCGCTGAGCATGTATGTGCCACCGGGTGGCCGGTCTGGTGGCACACACTATGAGGGGGCACTCCTGTCACTGTCACTAATGTTGAGGAGTGAAGGAGGAAGGAGGAGCATGTCTCTCTACCATGCTCCTTCGCGGTTCCCACAATTCCCAGCACAGCATGTGCTGGGAATTGTGGGAACCTCGAGGGAGCATGGTAGAGAGACATGCTCCTCCCTCCTCCTTCACTGCTCACTCCTCACTCCTCAGCATTAGTGACAGTGACAGAGGTGCCGCCGGACCGGCAAGGCTGCCACCCAGCCTGGCGGCTCCAGCGTGGAATGTGGTCGGCCCCCCTGACTCCTCTCAGGTAAATGGGAGGGGGAAGACGGGGAATAAAGAGACACAAGGGGAGGGGAAAAATAAAACAGAGGGGGAATAGACACAGGGAAAAGAGGGAGAAAGAGACAGAGGGGGAAGAGTGAGACACAGGGGGAGAAACAGGGGGAATAGAGAGATGGTGGAGGGAGGAAAAAGAGACAGAGGGGAAGAGAGATGTGGGGAGAGAGAGAGAGAGGGAAGGGGGGGAGAAAGAGACAAAGGGGAAGAGAGAGACAGAGGGAGAAAGGAGAGAGACACACAAGGGGAGAGGGAGAAAGAGACAGAGGGAGAAAGAAGAGAGACACACAAGGGGAGGGGGAGAAAGAGACAGAGGGGGAAAGGAGAGAGACACACAAGGGGAGGGGGAGAAAGAGGCAGAGGGGGAAGACAGAGACTGAGAAGGAGAGGGGAGACATGGACACAGAGGAGCAGTGAGGGGGAGAAAGAAACATGCAGAGTGACTGGGGGGGAGACAAAAAGGCACACAGAGGGGCTGTATATATCACTGGTGGATCCGGGGGGTGGCAACAGGGCATTTCCCCCCACCCCCACAAGGCTCTCCCCTGCCAGCCGATCTCCCTCCCCATTTCACAGGCACCGTGCGGCACACACTGCCCATACACACACTGCCCCCACACACACCACACACATTCACACACTGCCCCCCATACACACATTGCCCCATACACACACACTGCCCCCGCACACATTGCCTCCCACACACATACACAGCCCCTCATACACACATTGCTGCACACACACACATACACAGCCCCCCCCACACATTGCCCCACACACCCTACACATTCACACACTACACCCCCCCACACACACACACATACACTGAACCTTTCACACACACTGCACCCCTCACACATTGCACCACTGCTCCTATACCCTACTACAGTCCCATATCCCAGCAGACCCCAGGTAAGTTGTCAAACTGTTCTTAAACAGTTTGACTACTTACTCTGGGAGGGGGTCCCGGCACTCTTTGCACCATAACCACTACACAGAGCAGTAGTGGTTATTGTGCATGGATTATTTCTTTAAATAATCTACAAGTGCGCCTCCCGGGATCAGGCTCTGGATCCGGCTCTGGATCCACCAGAGTATATGACATGTATATTAATGTGTATTAGTTTTATATATATATATATATATATATATATATATATACACACCTATTATATTTACACATATATTAATGTACATTTATGTATGCATAATACACAGATAAATGTCATTAATATGTACTATATGTAATGAGCAGATATTGGCCCAGTCTTGTTGCTAGGTGCATACTCCATCACAATAACATATTTAAAGTGAAGAGCGCACCCACAGGACTTAAAAATAAACAAGATAACGTCAATTTTTTACAGTTGTGCCCTACATACATTCACCATTTCAGTCCTATTACCAAGCTTTCCTTAATATGTCAAGGTATTGGACTGAAACATTGATTACATGCAAAGGCACGTCTGCTTAAAATAAATCTGCACTTTTGTTTATTTTTAAGCCTATGAGTTATTTTTTTTTAAGTTGGAGTAATAATTTTTTATTTTAAGTTCTCTTTTCTAACTCTGTATCTGCAAACTATGCTGGCGCGACGCATTATGGGGCTGGTAGATATTTTTTTTCCAGGGCTGCTTTTAATTCCCAGTCCGGCCCTGATTGCCATTCATATAGTGCCAACAAATTCCGTAGCCTTTATGATGATAGTCGTAGGCAGGCTATTCCATAGGAAGGGAGCCACCCACAAGGAGTCCTGCAAGTGTGAGTTGGCCGTATGGGTGCAAGCAGCGGACAGGAGAAGGTCACCGGCAAACTGGAGAGACCAAGAAGGAGCATACCTATGGATCTGTGAAGAGATATAAAAGGGGCTAGAATTGTTTAGTGATTTATAGGTATGGGTTAGCACTTTGAATTGACTCCTTTAGGATACAGGAAGCCAATGTAAGGACTGACGGTGCGGTGTGAGAGGACCGACTAGAGAAGAAAGTCAGTCTGGCGGCAGCATTTATTACAAGTGAGGCAATGCTACAACTGCAGGAGGAAATGCAAAAGCCTGAGAGAATGGCACATTAGTTTGGTATTATTTGGCAAAATTCGAAGATAGCCCAAATTATTTCTTCCCGTGACTTGTAGTCAGCTTTCCCTTTCTTTGCCATGGTAACCAAATAGGAGCATGCCATAGTGTTTGTGGTTAGATATGACCAAAACCTCTTAAGAACAACTGGTGTTGCTTATTTAAATGGAAACTATAGTGCTAGGAAGTCAAAGTTATTATCTCCCTTGCCCCCACCCACCCGATGTGCAGAAGGGATTTAAAAACCCTTCTGTCACTTACCTTATTAGTTTTATATGATGATATCATATATGATAGTATATATCATATATACACACCCTGGATTAATGCAGTTTATCAGAAACTGCAATAATTACAATTGCAGAGTTAAAGGGCCTGGGACACTGCACACAGACCACTTTCAATTAGCTGAAGTAGTCTGGGTGCCAATAGTGTCCCTTTAAATGTAACATACGGTTAGTTAAAAAAAGAGAGCGATAAATTGTGCAATACTATTTTTAAAATGAATGAAAATGTAAGAATATTCCTTGCAAATCTGAGATCAATGGCAGACATATAAACAAGGAAATAACTAATATAAAAAGAACAAAGTAAATAAATAAGAATATAGAGATCTATAAAATGTAAACAATTAACAATCTGAATTGATATGACCATGCACATGTGTAATAGTTTAGCGATTGAATGACCTGTGTGCCCTTTTAGGTTCTACAGTCAATAGAAACCAATAAGTAAGTTCAAATAACAGTTCAATACTTATAAAATTGATTTTTTTTTCTGTGTTAATTTGCTGCAAGGATATCTTAACATTTGCATATGTCTATGTGTTAAGCTTGAAAATTAATGTTTGTCATGTCACTAAGAGAATTTTTGACACATGTCATTATGATTCAGATTCAATCAGAAAGGTGGGAAGATAATAGACATGAAGCTCAAACAGAGATTTGATGTAGAAAACTGTTAATTTATAGGGTAACTTAAAATAACTTATTTTCAGTTTTGTACAATAGAGAAAAAAAATGGAATTATTATATGTATGTTTCACTTTTCTGTAGAATATTTCAAGAATGTATCATTATTTGAATTCTTATAATGTATCCAGAATGGCACTCACCAAAATCTTTGTAGCCATACCAGTGTTCCCCAACCTGTAGATACCATCTCCACTAGCACAGAATAAGGAAACAGTACAAGGCATTTGTTGTAAGTGCAAATATGGCTCTTTATTGTCGATTGCATGTTGGCAATGTTATGGCTCTAAATGAACCCTGGCATAATCTCATTGTTCCAATAACAAAGCTGCAGATTGCTTTGAGTTTCCTAAAAATGAGCCCTTCCAGAAGTCATCGTTAGAGTGCTGCGATAACAAAGAATTTATTTCACACGATGAGTGAACAGAATGGTAATTTTTTAGTCTTCCCATGATTAACTGCCATTTGTTGGAACTGTAAATCCAACAGATTATATTATGAAGTGACACTCACATACTTTAGAAAGCACAAGACACTTATGTTTGACTCCAATTTCCATTTGCTTACGCTGGCAAATTTTTCGATAGATGAAAGACCTGCAAATGATCTTGAGACGAAATTAAAAAGGTCAAAAAGGAAGCAATAATTCTGAATTTCTAAAAAGAGAACAGTGAACAAATGTTGATTACTGGTTCTCTAAGCATTGAGTCTGCTTTCAGGCAATAGTCTTAAAAACAATTTTTTTTTGTCATATTATCCAATGTTTGTTTTTGTTAAAGATTTTATTTAATCAACAGTAAAAATACACTGGGTTAATTTCTGAATTGAGAATTCAAAGTGAATTTCAAAGTTAAGGCCAAAATAGACCTATTAGAAAAATAAACTAAGTCATCTATGTTACAAGTTTGGCTACTTTGTCCAAAAAAACTTGAAATTCACTTTGAATACCCATTTTAGTGAATAACCCTGCCACGGCTGTTAGCTAAAGTGATAATTGTTGGAAATTCTAAGTGAATTTCAAATGTAAGGCCAAAATAGCCAAACCTCGAAAAATTCTCCCATCTATGCTACCAGTTGAAGTTGCTACCAGTTGAAATTGAAGAATCAATCTTGGCATTAAGGCAAACTAGTACAGTGAATAGAACTTCCGAGGCTCTTGCTATTATATAAATTGTTCTTTAACCCCTCCTCCCCCCAAAAAAAGGCTAGATTTGCATAATGTTTGTCCTATATGTCAGGTCTATATGTCATTTGAACATTGGCCCCCTCACTCAACACTCTGTTCACAGGGCTAACCTGTTATGTCAACGTATGGCATGACCAGGAACTATTTCTTGACAGCTCACCTGCCCACTAGATATTAATAAGACTAAATCATTAGGAATATTGAAAAATTAGGAACATTCAAGCGCTCCAACAGTGGGCATTTGAATTGAGGGTGCTGGTGGTGTAATCAGGCCAGCTGCAACGTGTTACAACAGTTCCAGAACATCATGGAAACAGCACACATCAAAGTGGATGCAATAGACTAACTCCCTCCACACACACACATATGTTATGTTACCACTAGGTCTCCAAATAAATAGACCATCTCACCTGGTTTTAAATCAAAAACAAAATGACCAACATGTTTCATACATGACACCTGCAAGCATAAGAACCATTTTCATTCTGTGAGTCGGTATCCCTTTAAGTTAAAATATACCACAATCCTCTGTATAACTTTCTAGGGCTAAAGTTTACGAAACAGCTTAACAAACTTTTGTCAATTTCATGTATGTT